AAATCAGGCATATTTTCTGAGAAAATTCTGGAAAATTTTTCAAAATTTTTATTTCCACATCTGGGAGCTCATTTCAAGATTGAAAATCAGGCTGCCTCCTTTCCTTCCTTCCCTGATGTGAGTCAGCTGGGTGACTGCCCAACTGTACCAGTAAATATGAGAAATAAATAAAAATAATACTGTACACAAAACAATTGAATTTAACTCACCACAAATAGATCTTATAGCACTACTGCTTTCACTTGATGGCCTCTTTCCACTGATCTTGAATAAGAGTAATACACTGGATAGTCTTGAATAGGATACAAATGTAAGTATAAATCCAAAAGCTGGGTTCAAGAGATAAAGCATACACGCTGGGAGATAACAACACACTGAGTCGACGTGGGTACACCGGCATACCCAGGTTGATGGAAGCAAACAGCAAGAAATCCTCACCAAAACCAATAAATTCTTATTTCTCTGCTACAGGTACTCCTCTACTTACGCACGAGTTACATTCCTGAGGCTTGTTTATAAGTCCAATTGTTTGTAAGTCCAACTTTACTGTTGTAGATACCAAACATATTGTACAAAATGACAAGATTATGGATATTTATTACAGCTATAGCTATACCCTTTAATACAGCCTTAAAACCTGGCTCACTCTTCTCCCCTTAGGTAATGTTTGTTCTATCTGGAATTTTCTTCAAAATAATCCAGTCTCATCCACATTAAACACCTGTTCTGGCAGGTAACTCCCCTAAGTGATGATGTTTGTATCTCTGAAAGTGTGTAAGTTGAACGTTCTTAAGTAGAGGAGCATCTGTACTTAATGTAGAGAATTTTGAAAATTTACCCAATTTCCGTAAGGTAAAATTTATGGGGCATATACTGAATTTAGTGGTCATAATTTATAAATTCCGTATGGGCGAATTTCTACTCCCTGAATTTCCATAACGTAGAGGGATATCTGTGCGCGGAAAAATTCTGGGGATGTGGGATTTTTTCAGGTTTGTGAGAGTCGTCTCATTACCTGGAAATTTCTCATCCCCGGAAGAGTTCTGAACTAATTATTCTGGCTAACGGGGATATCACTGAAGTATGAATTTCTGGGTATAGATTTAGAGTTTCTGTAATCTACACGTATATTCATCTTGTGTGTTTATGATTATAAAGGCAAATTTTATTGTCATAAATATATATATATTCAATATGGGGACAAAATAAACAATCCTAAAACAGGTACAGTATTTACTCCATGACACACTAGATAATAATGATGCAGGAATCATCACAGCCAATAGGTATATCAACATGATTGATGGTAATGTAATTCTAAAGTCTGTATTATTTGTGCTTTAAAAAGTCAAAGAAATACCTTTATAAATCATAAACATATCCAGCAAACAGTCATTTCAGACATGCAAGATAAAAAAGGTACAATTATATCGATGACAATTAAACATAAAATTAATTAATAAACCATAAAGAAAAGCAGTGTCCTTGATAGCAAGTGACATAATATTCTAGTCACTGAAGGAAAATAATTAAGGTATATTGTATACAGGTATCTCCTGATATATGAAATCCATTCATTAATTGAGACCCGTGTGCTATTGGGGTTTATGCTTGGGGGACTGTTGGTCAACTTTTTTTTTTTTCACATAAAGTTTACCACTATATGTCATGTAATGAGTAAATGCAATACACTGAAAACAATGAATAGTTTACAGTTACAGTACAGCAGTGGTCCCCAACCCTGTGACCCGGGCCACAGTACTGTGACCCAAACCATCTACTAGTGTGACCCGACAGACTACTGTGACCAGGTGCTGTGACCGACATTGTGACCCACAAAAATCAGTGAACAAGTAAATCTTGTTATATCCTGTGCAGTGGCAGATTTCCCAATAGGCACATGAGGCATGTGTCTAGGGGCTCCTGACCTTTGGGGGGCCCCAACCACACACATAATGTGGTAGCATAGATAAGAGTCAAATAAGAGCAGAAATTGTGTAAAAAAAGAGGGAGGACATTTTTAAAATATATTTGTTTACTCTTACCGCCATGCCTTTTTCCTTTAATTCATATTCTGCCAGGTGACTACAGTAAAGTGTGAGTAAACGACCAACACAAACTTGCTAGGCTAGAAACTCGACGGTCGAGCTGACCAATGTCTTAATATTTTCACGTTTTTCTAAGTACTGAATAGTTTTTAGTTTAAATCACTTTTATGTCACAATAAGATGAATGTGAATACAAGATAAGTGTTTTTTTTTTTAATGTAATTGTAATAGACCCAACTATGGCACGTGAGTGTACAAACTGTACAATATGTCAAACTCATACTGGTGTTTATAGTGAAAAAGTGAGGTATGGCCATGTTGATTATCAGTATTTTGGTGAACATCAACATTGAAATGCACATACCTGACCATTCAAAAGTATATTTGGCACTACCCTGCCATGATAATAATTAATGGGAGGTAATTCGTTAGCCGAAATTTCATTAACCGAATCGTTCGTTAACCGAGGGACCACTGCATACTAAATCGCAATATATAAACAATGGGGAAAATAGGGTTAGGTTCTGGAGGCCCAAAAAAGTGACTAAATTTGACTTAACGAGTTCATTTTCTTTCTAACTAAAGCACCAATGAACACTAAACTCGGGAACAACAGACTATTTCAATATCAATATCAAGGAACACCAGACTCAGGAACACTAGACTCTGCAGCTGACGCACCATCCTGAGAACACCCAGACTCGGCAACAGACGCTACACTGCCACCCACACTTGACAATCTCACACCTACATAAACGAACACCAAAAATATTAGTTACAGAATTAAATCCTTTCCATTAAGCTTTCCATTATCTTCACTTCACTTTTCATGTCATTTACACTAGCTTTAGAAATCTGATCTGCACCAGACTCGGCAGCTGATGCACCATCCCAAGAACAACAGACGACACACTGCCACCCTCACTTAACAATAATAAACGAACAAACCAAAAAGCCATTTTTCCTAAAAACCAGTTTTTGTGATATAGTCCAAAATGCGACGTCCAGCTTCTAGCATTATACCTAGGTATGTAAATGCCAAGCATTAATTCGCCAGGCCAACATACAAGCAATTAAAACATCTAATAATTACTTAAATACGTAATATTAGGAGGACACGTCGCTACCTGGAATTTAATTGCAAATATCAAAACCCCTTCCCACACCCTCCATCACATGCATTGCTACCATCATTTTCTAGCCTGGCGAATCAGCTGTAAACACGCACAATGAAAGCTCCGCTAATTTGTGTTGTAATAGCAGAAAAATTAAGTGCCACGAGGATTTTATTTTAGGCATTTATACATCTCAGCACGGTGAGGAAATCGAGTGACTTTTATTTTGTTTATGTCTCTCAGATATTGTGATTGGGGCAATGTTTTATACGGTCTGGTCAATTATGGCGACCGCGGCTCGTCTTCTATCTAGGAAGACATTTGATCTTTAGTGACTAAGTATTAAATCATTTCTATTAACCTTTCCATTATCCTCACTTCACTTTTCACGTCACTGGCAACCCATTTACACTCACCTGAGAAGTCGTAATCTGCAGCAGTCGGCTGCTTTCTAGTCACTCACTCAGAAAGACTGAGCGGGCGAGCGTGAATGCATGAGTGAGCAGCTACGGTGGCGCCTCTGGTGAGCAAATAACGCATTTGTTTGCCATGGCATTACATTTGAAATATTTCTTGCCCGATTTCCTTCGCGAAATAAAAAAAAATTATCGCTATAGGAAATTTTCTATAATTTTGGTAGCCGCGATATAAAAAAATCATTATATAAAGTCGTGATATATCCCGACACTTCTATATAAAAAATTTTCCTAACAATTCCTTGCGTGCATACCAATTTCGTGTGGTTATTATTTTGGTTATCAATACTGTAGTAGCGGTCCCTCGATTGACGAACAGTTCAATTAAATAATTTTGGTTAATGAATTAGCTCCCATAAGGATTTTCAGTTCCACCAACAAACAAAACTTCGATTAACGACAGCCTTACGAGAAACACGCCTTGTTGTGCGCATCAGCTGATCGGCTAGTCAGCCAATACAGTAATTGATTCCATGTTTACATTCGTTTCCAGTGGAGTAAATATCAAGAAAGTTGTGCTCTTGAATATTTTTGCATTTTTTATACAGTATTAAAATTATAGGTCGTTCTGAAATTAGGTTAACTTATTGATAATATATACAGTACAGGGAACAGTTTTTGTGTGCCCTTCAGCTGTTTGAATCACCCACCAATGCTTCTCAGTTTAACTTTGTTTACAGTGAAGTGAACATTAAGTTTGTTGGTCTCTTAAATATTTTTTGAATTTTTACATTAAAATTATTGGTCATTCTGAAATTTAGTTAGCATATTGATAATATACAGTGCAGAAATTATTATGAAACATGAAGAAGGCATTAGAACCAAAGCACTCTGTAAAGAATGTGGCATGTCATCATCGACTGCCTCTACAATCAGCTATTTGATATGTAAACAAAGCTGCCGGGAATACAACATACACGCCTCAAAGTAAGTTAAAATACAATGTTCTAATGCTTTTTATTTATTATTGTACAGTATACTGTACACTACTATACTGCATTTAGTTTATATTTAATGTTTTGTTAATTCTATTACCGGTATACAGTACTTTGTATATAGACTTTTTCTGTGAGTTAGAACCAATTACCCAATATCCCATTGAAAGAATAGTTTCAGTTAACGAAATTTTTGGTTAACAACTGATTCTGTGGAACCAATTATGTTCATTAATCGAGGGACCACTGTATATACATTCATTTACCTGTATGTGTTTGGTGACCACACTCTGGTCTATCCACCAGGTGATCAGCTGTACGTATGTTGGATCGATTTATCATCCAGAGCGGAGAAGAGAGAAGATGCTGTGACAGGACATTCAGAGCTGTACATCTGCAAAAGAAGATGCTCTACCAGAAGCAGAGATGAAGGTACCTGTTTCACTGAAGAAAAAAGCCTCTTTGAAAATAACGCACCTGCTCGTTACCAAAAAGAAACCTATCACAGAGAGTGAAGAAATCATTGTGCCAGCATTGAACATCCTTGCAGAAGAAGTGCTTGGTAAAAGTGCTGCTATGAAGCTGAATGAGGTCCCCCTTTCAGCCACAACAATGGAACGCTGGAAGTTAATGATTGCTGAGGACCTGCTTCTACAGTTAGCCGAAAGAGTTAGGAAAAGTCCATGCTATGGATTGCAATTTGACTTGTCGACAGATTTCACAAACAGGGCTCAGCTGACATGCTTCACTTGCTATGTTGATTGTGAGCACTTGCGAATGATAGAAGAGTTTCTTTTCTCTGAAGATGTTGGCGCAGAAACTACTGGTGAAGCAACTGCAAAAAAAGTTCTGGACTGTCTCACCCACAATGGGATTCCAATTGAAAAGTGTTCACACATCACAACCGATGGTGCAGCTCGTATGGTTGGGATAAGAAATGGTGCAGTGGCAAGGTTGAAAGATTATGCACCGAACTGTGGAAGTTCTCACTGCACCCTGCATCGCCAGAATTTGGCATCAAAGCATCTACCAAGCGAGTCTGATTTGGATGCTGCAATGAAAAAGTGAGTCATTATCATCAATGATATCAAGAGCAAAGCTAAGAAATCTCGCATATTCCATGACTTCTGCAATGGGATGGGGAGACTGAGAAGACCCTGCTGTTTCACAGCTAAGTGCGATGGCTATCAAGAGGAGTTGCATTAAAGAGACTCTTTCAAGTAAGGAAAGCAGTTCGTGGCTTCTTGCAAGAATGTGGCAAACCACATGAATTCTGTTTCATGCAAGAGGAGTGGGTATATTCACCAAGCTCAATGTGTTAAACCTCTCCCTTCAAGGGCCAGGTCAAGATGTGTTCACTTCCAATGACAAAATTGAGGCATTCTAATTGAAAATTTCAGGGTGGAAGAAAAGAGTTGAGAGAAGGGACTTTTCTGACTTCGATATGCTTGGACAAGTGATTGTAGAGTCCACATATTTTCCTCCTGCATGTGAGGAAGAAAAAAAGAAGAAGAATAGTTGGATAAGAAACCGTTCCTATCTCAAACTTGAAAGACAGCAATCTGCCCACCCAAGAAAAAGACACACTGAGCGAACACCACGATGACTCAGAAATGAAGGACTTTTTCAACAGCCGCAACCACACCGACTTTTGGGGAGCAGTGAGCCAGAAAGAAGCATAGGAGATGATTGCTGGTAAAGCACTCCAAGTTCTGCTGGCATTCCACAGCACTTACTCCACTGAAGAGGGTTCTCAGATCTGCTCACCATCAAGAGCAAAAAAAGGCAGAGGCTCGGAGAGACGATGTTCTCTGCGTGCATGAGTGGCAGCGACAAGAAATATGGCCCCACGATTCAACTTGCTTGCTGCAGCTATCCAGCAAAAAAAATCACACTGAAAGTATCCAATGCCATATGTAGTTTGTTTTGAGGCGTGGCTGCACAAATGAATTGTATGTATAAGTGTTTGTACTTTGTACTGTAAGTGTAAATGTAATGATAAATTTTTCTGGATAAATGCAACTTAATGTAATATACTTGTAGTGTACACTCATACAGAAGTGTGATGTTCCTATTAAATGTATCCTTTTCATAATGACAACTTCATATGTGCTGAGAACTGTGACCCAGTGTTGAAAAGGTTGAGGAACACTGCAGTAGAGCATAAATGCATCTCTGCCCATCTTGGGTAGCCATCTTGATCGTGTGAAACCTAAAAATTGGTATTCTTTAAAGAAAAAGGGCTGTCAAAATGTGATTGTTATTCGTTAACCCTTACGCCCCGGTTGACGTTTCAGCGCGCGCCTTTTCGCGGTATTGTTTGAATGCCCAGCGTGGGTTATAAGGTTCCAGTATGACTATTTGGTGGTCACGCCACACGCAGTGTAGCGTGGGTGGGCTCAGTGCAGTTAGTACGCATTAGCCTCTCGCCATGGAGAGTCTTACCTCAACCTCTCACGCTAAAAGTAGTGTACAGTAGTTGTATTGTAGTGTAGTATTACTGGAAAATAATGCTATGATTATGTTATAAATGCATCTATTTGTGGAATTATTATTCCGATAATTATTCATATGCATTACTTGCTCTCCCAAACACAAAGACAGCCTGGCGACAGACTGCGTGTGTGTCACTGAGCAGTTTTTATGAAAAATAATGCAAATAAAATATTCTAAATGAATTATTTATAGGAAATAAGTATAATGATCAGTAAATATATGCATTACTGGCCATCCCAGACACGAAGGCAAGCAGAAAATTGCTGCTAAGTGTGTAGTGGCCACGAGCACTAGCTGTCAAAACACTGTCCCCTTACTCCCTCGCCATTTAAAAAGGTTAAAAACTACTTTTGGATAAGTTGATTTTTCTCGAATTACCGGTACCCCGCGTGGGGGATACAGCCAGCGGCACCCTAGCCCGGGGCATAGGAGTTAAAGCAAATGTTTGCTTTCATATAAAGAAAAAAAATGTCAAAATGAGACTTTTATTTAAGTGATTCTTTGTTTATTGGGGGATACCTGTACTGTACCCTAAATGTGTACTTTTACTTATACAGGTATTTCCCTATAAGGTTTACAGAGGTGAAGCAGACTTCATTCCTCCTGGTTGGGTATCCTCCTATGAGCCAATGAAGTAAAAGCAGACTTATGATAAGCATGAAAATGTACTTTTACCTCTGGAAATATGTAATCAGATGTAATAGTTCAAAGTACTTTATTTCTACAAGTGTATTAAGACAACAGCAGATAAAATGTTGAGCTGGCTACCTGTCATGTCCATGACTTGAAAAGGGAATAGCTTTTCACTTAATGGTTACCACCCCAGAAATTGTGGAAAATGCTATTAATATAGTACTGTATTGCCTTCTAGGTTTTTGTAAATATAATTTTCTTTATATTATCAGACACCAAATCAATTATATTACAGTACTTCCTACAAGCTGGAAATCCTGCTAATGTTGAGAATTGAATGGCTAATTCATTTTTGTGACAAAAGGTGTACAGAAAATATATTAAGTATTAAAATGAGTGATATCAACTAAACAAACATCATACATAAGAATTTTAAAGAACAAAGAAAAACAGCAGACCCTCAATATTTGACAATTCAATACTACGCTTTCCTTATTTTGCACCCACCTAAATTATTCCCAGTTTTCTTTATTTTACAATCAAACCCTTTTATTATAGTAAAGCCTCGGATAACAACGATTTGTCCAACAACTTTTCGTATTTGAAACTCTAGATAATTTAGGACCCAATTCAGTTTTCATCCTTATTTCATTCGTATTTACGACCAAAATATAATAAAAATATAATAAAATTACATTTGCATATAAATAATAACTAAATCCCGATATGTATTATAAAAAAAAAATTACTGTAAAAAAAATGAAGAGCGCTTTGCGCAAAGAAGCTGCCTTGCTAATGAGTGGTAAACAAGAGTCAGAGCTTGGCTGGCCTTTTGTTTTCACGCCTCTGGAGCAGGAACTGGAGAAAACTTTCTCAGGTTTCTTACAGCATTTTTGCATCCCTATTCAACATGAGCAAGAGAGCAAGTGATGGTAGTGTTGTTTCAAAAGCTAATAGAAAGTGTCTATGCTTAGCCAAGAAACTAGATGTATTAAAACGATATAAAAAAGGCGAGAGGTCTGTGGATATTATATGGAGCAAGCAATGAACATATATTCTGAAGTGGATCCATTAACAGAACAAAGCATTAAAATTTAAATAAACGCAAATGATCTCTACATAAAGATGTATAATGAGAAAAGAAAGCCGCTGTGCAAGGTTCTTTCGACAGCTTTAATATTTGAAGGACTAAACCATCAACTTCAGCTACACCATCAAATTCAGCTTCAACATCAACTTCAGGTTCAGGAACAGTTTCAGCAACAGCTTTATGTAAAGTTAAAGCTTCAGCTAGAGTTGAACCTGATGACATCGTCATCTGAGTAAAAACTATCACAATATTCATTGGCTGTCCTTATGTTTTAGACTTTACCACCATTGATGAACAGAATTTTAGTTTTACATTCATAAATATTATTCAAAACATATATGAACAGTAAATAAGTGTTGCTTTCCTATTCATATGTAGAGAAATGACGATATGTTTTCACATGTATGCACTTACTGTTCATAAGTTGGCTTTCCCAATCGTCTCGTTTTATTTCTTTACCAATTGTGGTTAGCTACTCCTAGTGTTCCATTTATTAACATTAAATAGCATTACTTAAAACATACATACAGGTATTCAATTTTTTTAAATTAAGTTCACTACAGCTACAACCAGGGTCTTATTGTCTTCAGTTTCTTATGTAGAACCATCGTCACTCACGAAAACAATGCCGTATTGTCTTCTCGTGTGTGTTTTAATATTCTACGTATTATTAATGACTTGCATTGTTCATTTTACATATATAAACATTCATTCAATCAAATACAAATTCAGTAATAAACGATAATGAATCTTTTGTACATATTCTTAAGATAAATGACTATGTTTCCTTGAGTGCGCACGTATACATTGGGTGTAAACACTGACAACAATGTCGTCTCTTATCCTCTTGTGTGTTTTAATATTCTACGTATTAATGAATTGTATTGTTCATTTCGCATATATAAAGATTCATTCAATCAAATGCATATTCAGTAATAAACAATAATGAATCTTTTGTACATATTCTTAAGATAAATGATGCGGTATCCTTAAATGCGCACGTATATGTTGACATTCCCAATCCATCTTTTTTTTTTTTTGTCTTTGCCATTAGTGGTTAGCTACTTCTATTGTTCCATTTATTAACATTAAATAACGTTACTTAAAACATATATATTATTTTTTTTACATTAAATTTACTACAGCTACAACCAGGGTCTTATTTTCTCTTGTAGAACTATAGTCCCGGACTCCCGGCTGTAAACACAAATGAAAATAATGGCGTCCCATCTCCTCTTGTGTGACCATATTATTATTCATTTATATTGTATAAGGTGCATTCAGAAACATTATTTAAAGAATATAGTTTGCACTTTTCATTAATTGTATTATTTTGGGGGGAAAAGAGGGTAGAAAGCCACACAAAAGATATGAAAAGGTCACACTTAGGAATGCATCTCATTATTATTGCTTTATTTTAATGGTAATTAATGATTCGCGATAAGATGATTCACCTTGCACTGCAATATTGGAGGACACATTAACGTCGTTATTCGAGGCTTTACTGTATGTGGTGAGGCCAGAATTTTTCTTTTTCAAATGGCCCACCAGATTCATGAGCCGATGCCAAGGAATCAGCTGACAAGTAAAAATTTCCCAAGCATCTTACTAGATGGCAACATTGGTGTCTCACCTTAGGCTAGTCATGTTTGCTATGCAGTTTTATGCTCAACCAATGTGTCGTGTGGACACTCACTCTCCCTCTACATAACTTTCAACCATGAGCAATAATCACCAGTTCCCATCAACATTTCAAGATGCCTAGTGTTTCTCAAGTCCTTCTTCTAAAACTCCAAGTGCCAAGAAATCTCAATAGACTTTCTCCATCAAAGAAAAAATAAATATACTGGATGACCTTAGGCAGGGTGCAGGTTCTTCAGCTGTAGCACGTTAGTATGGAGTGCATGAAATTACAATTCAGGTAAAATGAATCCCTTAAAGGAATTCCTTGGGTGTATTGTTTGGGGCTCCAGGCCTGTACAGTACCTACATTATCAACTGAAGTACTGTATATACATCAATAAATCATATTTCACTATTCCCCTGTAATTCTCGGTCCCACTCTTAACATAATGAGGGTCTATTGTACATAATACATACCCATTTTGAAGAGCAAAACTCTATACATATCAAACAAAATCTTGATAATATCAATTCATCTGTGGACAACAATTAGATTTCTTATTAAAACTAATAATTATACAACGGAATAAAAAATAGTATTCATGCTTAAAATTCTGAAAAGTTGAACATCAGTACTTTAGTACAGTACATAATTGATCCACTGACAATTTGAAATTTGATCCTCAGCTGTGACCCTGACATTTGATGCTTTAATCTGAATTATGTTTCCTGTGGTGTCTAATGATGATATAAATTCATATAAAATTTCATCAAAACATCTATATTGATACAAGAGTAATGTACTACAAGGAAAATACTGTACTTGCATGCACCCAGAGACAATTATGCCATAATCCAGTACAGGCTTTTTTTCTTTTCAGAACAAACATATACAACAATATCTAAGGCAGTGTCAATTGACTCAAAGATTTCTAACCTTCTGCTTCACTATATCTGTCCTGAGATGTATGGAAATAATAAATATTACTTATTTAAACATTATTAAGGCTAAAAAAAGCTGCAGGTACCAAAAGGAAAATTTTAGCTTGAACATTTTTGGGGATGATAACAGTATAATGCGGACTGACTAGCAATATGTTGCAAATAATCTTTGGCTGAAGAATTATGCTAAAGCAAAAAACTGACCAACTTACTAATATAACTAGGTAAGAGTGTGGGGCAAGAGGAAGACAAACTTAAAAATAATTAATATTCAAACACAAAATTAAGCTTTTCACTCATAGATACATATAAAAGAAAAGTGGTTGACTTGTGCCTGAAATAACAGAGTGAACAGGGTGCATAAAACTAAGTAGAGGTGGTAGTGAGAAGATGTGTTGCAGCATCCACAACATCCACAAATCCAGCAGTGTGTTTAGGGAAAGGAAAGCCGTGACTTGTTGTCCTCGTCAACCAACGTTGTGCAAGTTTTCTATACTCCTCACACTCCCTGAAGACATAAGAGGAAAAAGAACTATAGCAGATGCAAAAGTAAATGTAATATGATGCAATACTACATAGTGCACAATCGCCCAAATGAATGATGTCACGATTTCCAGAAACTTTCAATCAAAAAGTGGTATCTGGCAACTACTAGATTCTTTTTCTCACTATTATTTTTTTGAGGTCGAACACAATTTTGTGAAATAGTAACAAATTAATTAATAAATCCAAATAAATCACTGTACGTGCACATGATCCATGTATATGTGGTTATGAGCATATACAGTAATTAAAAATGATACAGCAGTTTTTCATAAGAATATTGTAAGAACAAATCATGTACAGTAGTTAAAGTTTTAGAAAAAAGGAACTATATTTTGAAACAAAATAATATGTCATATGAAATTATTACTCGGGGACATTCAGGAATAATTTGTGGAGTTAGAAATGGATGTCAAAATGAAAGGGTATACTGTACATTAATTGTGATGCTGAAATGAATATTGAATAAGAAATATGATTTTTAAATAATACCTATATTCATACTCACCACATTTATGCCATGTCTTTAATGAATACGTACACAAATATTTTCCACATTCACCGCCTCAATGGACGACGACGTAAGGCGGGAACTTTCAATTTTTTTTTTTTTTTTTTTTAGCTTTAGATGAACTATATGCTTAAATAAATGTTTCTTGTTACATTTTCTCCTAGCAATTATAAGAAAATTAACCCCTACGCCCTGGTTGACGTTCCAGAACGCGTGACTTTTCGCTGCATTGTTTGAATGCCCAACTCGTGTTATCAGGTTCCAGTGTGACTATTTGCTCGCCCACAGGGAAACTTCTGCAATGTAAGTACCTACTTTTGTTTCTTTGTTTTATTTTCATTGTTTGTCCATTTTATCATGTTGTATCAAAGTAATATTGCTAAAAGTAGTGTAGTTGTATTGTAGTGAAGTACTACTGGAAAATAATGCTATGATTATGTTATATATGTATTTATTTGTGGAATTATTAGTCTGATAATTATTTCTATGCATTACTTGCTCTACCAAACACAATGACAGCCAGACAGCCTGGTGACAGATTCCGTGTGTGTCGCCGAGCACTTTTTGTGAAAAATAATGCAAATAAAATAAATTCTAAATGAATTATTTATAGTAAATAAATATAATCAGTAAATATATGCATTACTGGCCATCCCAGACACAAAGACAAGCAGAAAATGGCTGAGAAGTGCGAATGTGACCACAAGATCTTGCTGTCAAAACAACGCTGTTCCCCTTATATCCCTCACTCCGCGCTGCCATTTTCCCGTCACTGCAGCCCCGGGGAAGTTTCTAGAGGGTCAATATTTAGTTTTCCTTTTTTATTGTTTTATCATTAAAAAGGTGTAGGGGTTAATCGCCATTTATACTCTGAAGGTCAGTACCGAGGGAACTAAATTTAACCAGGGGGAGCTGAATATTAATTATGGTGTCCTAGATACTCTGTGTTACAATGTACTGTAGCACCTTATACAAAAAATATTGGGGTGTTGTTGCATCCAAATTGAAGGTGTTGTATTATTTAGCACCCAAGAACAAAACATTAATGATTCCCATTCAATGGTCATTCGTTTTGCATGAAAAAAGGTAAAACTTAGATAAATTGCTAACTTCTATGAAGCCTTATTCAACTAATAATTATTTAGAATATTATACATCTATCATATTGTTCTAAAAATAAAACAACTGCTAAATAAGAAAATAAGCCATATGCAGAATATGCTACACCTAGAAGTACCATATTTGCTGGCGTATAAGACGCACCACTGCATAAGACGCACCCCTATTTTACAATGATATTTTGCGGAATTTTTTTTAGCATATTTCAGCATACATTTATTGAAAGTGATTTTAAAGTGGTTTTGTAGGAGAAAACATATGATTTTGTGCATGTAAACACAATATATTCATAGTGGAATCAAGTAGGAAATCATATACAGTACGTATAGTGACATTATATTCACCCAACTCTACCTCTGATTAGAGCAGCTGTGTGGCTTGTTTATATTTTGGTTAAGAGAATTACCAACAGGATGTGAAACTTATATTTTTGGCTGTGATGTTTTGTGTTGCTGTGATCTGCCACCAGGGTGTAGCACCATCACTATTGTTTTGACGTCATCAATTCATTGTAATGGCTGACTGGCGGCTGAACTTTGTTAACATTTCTTTTATCTTTCTAGGGTCATTTTTCATTTAGATAATAAACAAATGTTTCTTAAAGGTAACACAGTCGCTAAATAATGTAAGACATGTATCGGGTGTGGGCTACGTATGCTGGGGAAGGAGGTACAGTGAGATGTTGTGAACTTCCCTCTGCCGTTAAGCCAATGTAAGCCATTATTTACGTCTTCGGCAAGTTTGCCGTAAGTTTGTGATAATAGATTGTGATAATTTGGCTTGTTTTTCAGTATTTTATTTTTAGTAATATTATATGTAAAAATTTTTGTGCTTAGTGGATTACTGCTCGTCCCAGACTCCCTAGCTAAGCACCTCCGTCTACGGCGCTCGACCTCCCATCCGTAATACGGGCGCATTAAACGCAGGGTAATTTGTGATAAATTTTTTGGGGGAAAACCGCATCTTATACGCCGGCAAATACGGTAAGTGTTATCGGCCTGTGTTGCTGTATCATCTCGGACTGACTAACCTTTATTCTTCCTGCATGAATCTTATTAGTCTTTCAAGCATAGAATTGGGATATAGCTCTTTTACTTTTCCTATCTGTGTTGAAGCCTTTTACCTGCAAAATTATAAGGGAATGCAAGAAAAAAGTTAGGCAGTGAGAAATTTGGTTCTGGAGTTCATTAATATACCATCTTACTAGAATGGCATCCAGCCCACTGGTCAGTCACTCACTAGGCTCCTGCCAAGTTGCCAGATACCAATGTCTGAAAAAATGCAACTGAAAACTTTGACATCACTTCTTTGGCCGATTGTACCTCACTGGAACTTAATAAAAATAAGGAAATGTTTAAATTTTAACAAACAGCTTGAAGATCATTTATGATGACAAAATATGACCAAAATTAAATAAAAATAAAACAAATTGACTGAAATTTAATGTTTCACCTCCAAATTTTAAGAGTGACTCACTCTACCAGTGAGCTCCCCATTACTCACAAGAGCTTATGGTAAATCCTACCTCATCCCTCCGTACAGTATCACTTTTGACCTACCTACTCCCTTATCCCCTAGTTGTATTGTTATACATTATATACTACTTCATTGAACTATTTAAATTCTTTTCCAGTTTACTGCAATTTAAAAATAAAACAATAAAACAAGGGAAGGAAAGTCTTTTCTTTTTATAAAACTAAATGATCTGATGATTAAATAAATACTACATATGAATGTTAGTGAAAGATTTTGGGGGATAAATTACATCAATACAGGTTGACATCCCTTTATCCGAAATTCCGAAAACCAAAGAGCTCTGAAAACCGAAAGGTTTTTTGTGGAGCACTTTTTTTTTTTTTTTTACGGGTATTAGCTCACCCGGGTACAAGTCACTGACCCACATCGGGGCCTGCGGGGCAAAAATGTAATAATAATAATAATAATAATAATAATAATAATAATAATAATAATAATAATAATAATAATAATAATAATAATAATTATTCATAGTAAATACAAATTTTAATAAAAAATACACAAAAATAAAATAAGAATGATAATAACAATAATAATAATAATAATAATAATAGTAATAATAATAATAATAATAATAATACTGTAATAATAAAATAATAATAATAATAATAATAATAAAAAATATCAGAATGAAAAATAGATCAAAAGTGAGAAACACGACCTAGACCTATGAATTATTATTCTTCTTCTTCTTATTATTATTATTATTATTATTATTATTATTATTATTATTATTATTATTATTATTATTATTATTATCACTATTATTATTATAATTATTATTATATTTTAGCCCCCAAGCCCCAATGTGGGTCAGTGACCTGTGCCCAGGTGGTCTGATCCCTGTAAAAAAAAAAAAAACTAACCATTCTGAAATCCGAAAAATTCCAAAAACCGAAATGCATCTGGTCCCGAGGATTTCGGATAAGGGATTGTCAACCTGTAATACAATGTTGACCAGGTTCTTGTGGTGATCTTGGAACTACTTGAATAAATCCAATGAATTTTCCATATACGGTACAGCAGATGCTGATAGGTGTCCTTGTCACTGTCTCATAATGTTGAGTTTAGTTTGAAATTATGATGTAAAAGATATGGAAAATGGAAGGCATTGTTAAAATTTTTTTATCTTTATCAGCAAGGTCCATGTGAACCAAGCCTGACTGAGTAACTGAGGGAACTTTTTGATCAATCCTCAATAATTAACTGAAAAGGAATCTCCTATGATCTACTGTATATTTAAATGGTTATTATTGCATCTTTAATCTCCAAGCTGTAGCTCCTACTTTTAAACAAAATTTACTTTACCAATCCAATCTATGCTACAATTCATATTTGACAAAAAATTAGTACTAACTACAATTTAAAGCATGCATCATCACAAGAGTAAATCAAACTTATACAAAGACTATACAGTACAGTACTTAATCCACAAATGTTTCACTGTCTCACACAACTGGCACTGTACCAGTTACAGTACACAAGACACTGAAACACTTCTGGATTAAATATGAGCTTTGTATACCTGTGGTTTATTTCTCCATATACAGTACTATACTGTATACATGCATATATCATACATGCAAAGCAGATGCAATTCTACAGTATACTGTACATCATTAGTTTTTGCCCTATGGAAATATACATGCATAATTGCAAACATTAATATTGTGATAAAATTGAACAATGATACCTGTAATACAGTATAAACAAACAAAATTAATTAATAATTTCATATTACAAGAAAATAGAAGTATATTGGCAAACAAAATATTGATGAAAATCCAGCTGATCACAGA